TACCAAAGAGTGGTTTATTACTACAGGAATTTTGTTGTAGCAAATTGTTGTACCGAATATAGATTTATTGCTACGGTATGATTGGCGAGTGGCCAAAAGGGTGAATAGAACGACGTCGTTTCATTTTTTGATATGCTAACTTTTGTAGTAAAAACAAATTATTAACTACGGCATTTTGGTTTAGTAAAACAATAAAAAATCTGTAGTAAAATGTAATCTAAATAGTTGGAAACCAAAAAAAAGAAATTTGTCAAAACTATCACATCTTTCATTCCCCCTTCTTTCTCCCTCCGCATATCAGATTGCCCTCCTCTCTCTTTGCCGCCATAGCCAATTTTTTGCCCGACTTAGCAAAATCCTTCGTTGTTATCTACTGTAGATCGATTGTCAAAACGTTGGTATCTAATCTTATTGCATAACTGGTTGTTGGTTCAAGTGTGCTTTTGAGGGAGAGCATTCAACATCCTCAAAGAACAAATTAAGTTAATTTTTGCTCATAAATCAGGTATATTCCTCCATAGTAGACATCTTTTGAATTTATATGGTATTGATTGAAGTATATATGAGTTATGCTGAATATTACTCATAATTTTACTTTTCTTCTACTGGTTGACGATTTAGCACAATTTCTGGTAAATTAAAACCCACCATTTGACCTACTAAAATGTGACAAGTTCTAGAATTGATTTTGGTGTTAAATTGATCTTAAATTTAAAAAAAATAGTGATAATATGCTAGAATTTGGCTTTGAGGGAATCTTCTGAGCTTCATGGATTTGATCTCTGGTTAGGGCTAAGTTTTGCAGAGTCGGATCTTTTGAATTGATTAGAATTTCATGTTGCGAGGGAATGTTTTTTTGCTAACGAATAAAAGGATTTTTATAGATTAATTACTGTGGAAACATAGGGGGAAAATAAGGGGTTTCGAATATCGAGATTATAGGTATTTTTTAGCAATTTGTAGCAGTTAATTGATATTTGATCAAGACGAATATTTTAATGTCGCAACTATATACCTGTTTTTCGATCCGGAAGCTGTGCTGAAAGATAACCAAAACCATACACGGAAGACGAACATATCTGCATCGATAATTTTACTCAACATTTAGGCGATATTGCCAATGCCAATTTCCTTGCACACGGAGCTTTCTATGGGGTACGTAAGTTTGATCCCGTTAATATATGTACTGATCCCTTTATTCTTCGCCAAATAATTAATTAATAAATTACGTATCATTTCTTTTTTCATATGATGGGTGTTTGTTTTACTGATTTATGTTGTATGTTAAGCAGGTGTTTACTTATCAAAAAAAAATTGTCAAGCAGGTGTTTGATGGTCATGGAGGTTCCGACGCAGCATATTTCATCCGGAATAATATTCTCAAATTCATTTTTCCCCAATTGTTTGGAAAAAGCAATCACGAATGCATTTCAAAAGCCGACTACGCATTCGCCGACAACAGCTCACTCGACATATCTTCCGGAACAACCGTTGTAACCGCTTTCCTATCCGGAAGGTACTTAAATAACAAAAATTAATATTAAATAAAGATGATTATTGTCTTAACACGATTCATAATCTCTGCAGAAAAATGGTAGTGGCAAATGCAGGAGACTGCAGAGCGGTACTCGGAAAACGAGGCAAAGCAATCGAACTATCGAAAGATCACAAACCTAACTACACATAGGAAAAACTCATAATCGAAAAAACTAGGAGGATCAATATACGACGGGTATCTAAACGGGCAGCTTTCAGTTTGATGAGCTTTAGGTGACTGGCATCTGAAGGGGTCGAAAGGGTCGGCTTGCCCTCTAAGTGCAGAGCCGGAATTGCAGGAGACTTTTTTAACGGAGGATGAAGAGTCCTTGATTATACGAAGTGACGGTTTATGGGATGTTATGAGTAGCCAATGTGCTCACGTAAGTAAAAAATATGTCATTAACTCCAAAATTTAAAAGCATTAACATAATAGAAATATATTGGTTCAAGATGCATCCGCATCTACATCCGCATCAACCTTGCGAGGACCAACTTTCCGGGAAATAAAAAATATTCCTTCTTGGCACGAACAACAAGTACTAGTTTTTTACTCAATTTTCATTTGCCTTTAAAGTTATGTCATTTGTACTATTATGATGATGTGATGCGGTTGTACATTGTTTTGTATTCATGCTATCTAAAAAACCTGATTGTTTTTAATTCAATTTATAGGTGGAGAATATTAGTCGAAGATCTATGGGTCAAAAGAGTGTTAGAATTTCTTCAGCCTGTTACGGTATGATGATCCATTTAAAGGCTGTTAGTATTTATGAATACCTATAAATAAAAATTAAACTGTTTAAATTTTGAGGATTCATGTTTTTGTTCTTCTAGATTATGAGTCATGTTCAAATATATTGTCCTAGAATACCAAAAAAAGTAGTTGCAGAGGGTGTTTGTATTTCAGTTATTGATGATGAAGAGGGAGTGGAATGAAAAATTGCTTAAATCGTGTGTCGGTGGTCAAACAATTGGCAAAGTTCTTCACAAGTGTTATTTACCTTATTTTTTACTTATTTACCTTATTTTTTACTTATAGCAGTCAAAGTAATTTAATAAGTTGTATTCTATGTAAAAATACATTTACCTGCTATTGTTTTATTTTAATTACAGGTTATGGAGATTTTGGAAGATATTTTTCAAGGAGACCGTTGATGCATATATTTCACTGATGATGCTAATACTTAGACCACCTAGGGTAGTGTAGAAAACGAGCTGGAAGAGCAAAGCGGATCAGTAGCTTGACAACTTTATGATCCTGAGGTTCCTGCGAAATGAGCACACGTGAACTAAGCCGGGGGTTGATCCGGCGGAAACCCCTCCGACGCTCAAGTCAGATGTACGGATCGTGGAGATGGTAGAGCAAATAAAATTCTAGTTTGCTTGTGAATAATAGAACGTACCTTAACAAATGAGTAAAAACCTCAATTTATATGTCGTTGAATGGGTTGGGTTTACTTAATTGGGCCTAAGCCTTATTTTGAAGGTGACTGGGCTTTGTGTAGTGGGCCCAATTATTAGGCAAATTAGGGGGCCCATTGGGTTGGCCCAATTCGGTATATCATTAAGCCCCCCAACTCTCGAGTCGAGATGGGAGACTTTTCGAGGGGGTTCCGGATCGTGTCGAGAGTTTAAAGTGACGTGATTACCGGATCGTAATTGTTATTAATTTGCTTTTGAGCCTCGTCTTCGTTTTTTTATGTTTTGTATTTATTTGGCAACAAGATATATATTTAAGGGTGTTAAATAATATACCAGGGCCAAATAAACAGAATCTTGTTGCGGTGAGGAGAATAAATTCCAATCCTTGTGAAGAATAAATATGGGTGAGTATCTCTAACTTTTTGATCTTCTTCTGTGCTCTTCTTCTTTTATTCTATTGCGGTAGAGTAGAAATTTTTTGTTTCTTGATTATTTCTTCGGGGAAAAATATTTACCATGTCGAACCCGGGTAAGTCGAAATCTTTGCGAATTAAACTTCGAGATCCGGTTGAGGGGGGCTAGAAAACTTTTGGTACAGTGGGTATGGAACGCGAGAAAGTAGTAGTATCAGGTGTGGGAATCGAGTCCGCGGTAGCTAGTGCACGAATTGAGAAGAAAAGGAGGATGGTAGGAGGCTCAGCTGCGGGCCTTGGCTCGAGCCACGCAGCCAGCCGCCAAGGGATGAGTGATGGTGCTCGTCTCGAGGGAGGCTTGGAGCCGAGGGAAGCCACGGAGCCGTCGGCTTGCGTCCGATTCGAGGAGAGGAGAGAGGGAAGCAGCAGTGCACGTGGCCCAATGGGAGAGGGACGCGCGCGCGCGTCGGGCACGGTGGCCAAGGTACGCGCGCGCGCGTCTGTGCTGGAGGGTGAAGAACGCGCGCGCGCGCGCGATTGGAGTGTGCGAAGGAGATGCGCGTGGAGGTGAGGGGCGACCGGGAGGACGCGCGCGCGCGTCAGGCGCGCTTCCCAGTGGCGACGCGCGCGCGTTTGTGGTCAGGGGTGTTTGCGCGTGTGGCAGCGCGTCCAGGGAGTGATTGGCCGCGCGTGGAGGCGCGTCAGGCGTCTGTTTTCCGGCGCGTGGCAGCGCGTCCGACCCCGTTTTTCAGCGCTCGTCGCGCGAGAGCGTTGGTCGAGCGGATGAGGGTTTTGACTTAGTTGATGGCATGAATAGGAGCAGTTTTGGATGGCGAGGAGCTATTGAATCGTGGAGTGATGACGTAGGATTGAATGTTAATGTTCTTGATCATACGGAGGGGGTTGAATCTAGTAGGCGTCGTTATAGGCGTCAAGTTGTTGATTTTGGGAGCGATAGTCATGAGTCAAAACAATCACATTCGTCGAGTGAACCTGCGGTGCCTAGTCGTGAAGTTGATCCAATGGTCGAAGTGGAGGAAGAAGATGATATTCCGCTGGGTGATGTTGAGGTGGATACGAGGAGGCAAAAGAAGATTAAGCCTATCAATTTTGACTTAATTGATTTTATAGTGTATTGACGGAAGAGCATTTGCAGTCTATTCGTCGACTAGCTGGGGCGCCGAGAAATGTCGAGTTGTTGTTGCCTCAGAAGGGCGACCGTTTATATTTGCCACCCGCTGGGTTTCATACGGTTTACTTGGCGTACTTGATGTGTACATCTCAGATCACTCCGCATCCGACCTTGTTGAAGATTTGCGATGAGTTTAAGATAGGGTATAGTCAGCTAACTCCGACTGCGGTTCTTATGTTCGAGGCGTTTCACCATAGAGTGTCTCGAGTAGGTTTGCCTAGTACTGTGAGTTTGTTCAAGGCGTTATTTACATTGCATCGGCCGACTAAGCTGCCTTTCTTTTGCGTTCACCAGTGCGTTCCCTACCGATTTTTGAAGAGTGTGAAGTTATCTTTGGGGGATTGGAAGTCCCGTTTCTTTTATGTGAGGGCTCCCTCTTTCGATGTCCCCCTAGTATGGAAACCTACGTGTGAGAGTTTCAAGATTACCGGGAACATGGCAAAGAGGATAGAAGAATCTAGGTTGTGTGATCCGAGGTGTTTGATACCGGATGGTCAGCACCGCATATCCTTTTGTTGCATTGACTTGCTTTTTTTTTTTTTTTTTTTGTGTGTTGTTCTTTGGTTGTATTTATCTCATGTCTCCATTTTTTGATTGTTTTCTTTTGTAGATGGGTGTATCAAATTTGCGGCACTTCGATCTAAGGCGAATGGGATATCGAAGAAGGCATCAAAGAAGGTTCCCTCTATGTTGGGAGGTTCTTCGGGTGGTTTGCCTCGAGAGACGGTCCATGTAGAGACTCCTCGAGTGATTGAAGACGACCGTTGCTGTGCCGGTGAAGTGGAGGTGCATGAACCTACGAAAGATCGTGGCAAGGGAAAGAGGGTAGATACTGAGTATGTGGTTGTGCCAAAGCGTCGGCGGGTAGACCCAGAGGAGACTTATGCGTTCCATGGTGGGGCAGGGAAACAGTTGTTTACCTTTGGAGTGAATCGTGAGGGGAATGAATCGTATTGGGATGTGTCGGACCATGATTTACCAATGCTGAGTACCGAGGGATTCGTTCGGGACTACGATCGTACTCGGATGTCCGGTAAGGGCTATTCACACATGTTGGAGTTGGCCGGTGGGAACATATGCCGGGTGAGTACTTGTCTTGTTAGAACAAGACTTTATGTTTATTTCATTTTTTTATTGCGTGAAATATATATATATATATTTTTTTATAGTTGGTAGTGACTTGGAGATATCTCATGGAGCAAGATGTGAACGTGGAAGCTAGGAAGGAAGAGGAGCGGGCTCGAAGTCAGGCGCATGAGGACGAACTTCGAAGCCAGTTGGAGATAGCGCGGTCCGATCTTGCTCAACAGACTGAGGAGCTTGCTCAGAGGACAGAGGAGCTTGAGGTTATCCGAGGTGAGGCGAAGGCGTATAAGGATGATGTTCAGAAGTTGAATGAGTGTTATGATCAGCTCAAAGAGAAATACGAAGTTGAGAAAGCGACGGGAAAGAGGTTTCGCGCGACGTCGGGTGGTGCTGTTTATAAGGAGTCCATCGTGGAGGAAACCAAACTTAGCTTCCGAGGTAGTGCTGAGTGTGTTGCTATGATTGAGGAACATGCTTTGGCTGCGGTCTATAAGCCATTAGTTCGTACCTGTCGCAAATACCTTCGCGACGCGGGTGGTATCAGTGAGAGGGTCATTCGTGGGATGGAAGCCGGTATATCCGATGAAGAGGAGGATGAGGCAGACGTCAACGAGACGGGCACAAATCTCGTGGATGACATGGTTGCTGATGTCCCCACCGCAGGGGCGTCTTCCGCTCGTGGTGGGGGAGCTTAGATTTATATGTTAATTTTGCTAGGATAGTTAAACTCGTTTTTATTCATTATTTTATTATGGAACTCTTAGTTTATTGTTATCGCCGATGTAGATGGGTATGTCCACTACTATTTCGTTTGATTTTTCTTCCTTATTTGACATTTGAAGCTTGATATCTCGTTTTATTTACTTTGACATTGTCGAGAGTTTTATGCGTTGCTTATATGTATTTACATTTAGCATTGTACGCGTACTTGAGGAGGGGATCAGTCTCTCAAGGTTTTTTGTTAAGGGTCGTGCCCTTTGTTCGGACCGCGTGGGTCTTAAATATGTTAGTTCCGTGGCCACGTTTTAAAAGTATCACCTCGTGAAACAAATAAAGAGACTTAAGTAATCCAGCTGGCCAGGCTATATGGATTATCTAAATTTCTCTAAGTGTATGTAGGGTTGTACTGCATTGAACTCGTTGTAACGGGTAAATGGTATTGATGTAATGCTACAGAGAGTAAAGCAAAAAGGTTGATTTATTTAATGGTAGAAAGTGAGAAATGTTACAAGCCTACGTGAGGCGAAGGGAAATAAATTTGCGAATGTCATAAGCCTACGTGAGGCGAAGGGAAATAACTATTGCAAAAGCAAACAAGTTGAAATAATAAAAACTATCTTAAGTGATTATATTAAATTGTTCTTCTTCCACGTCTTCCTTGTACTCGTCCGTGTCGCTGTGCTGATGGTGAATCGATTTCTTTTGGCGTCTCTATGCCTGGAAAGTATAGTAGAAATTTTTTAAATACTTGTACAGAAGACTTAGTAATTGATGCTCGGGTGATGTGTACTATAATATCACGTACCCTACTAAGGGGATTATTTCTCTTCCTCACACTCCGAGATATGAAATCAACTCGTGAGTTGCAGTGATTTGCTGCGTAATCATGCCTGTTAAATGGAATGACTTTATCATGTTAGTATGAATATATTAAAGCATGCGTGTGATATCTTTTAGTGGAAGTAGTGTTACCCTTGGCGATGTGGTATGGAGTGTTGGGTTTCGGGCACGCATACGCAGCGGCAGCAGCGGCGGATTGACCACGGCGGCGCGTGAGCTTCACGCGCGGACTTCCGGGGCGGCGCGTGGGGCAGCGTGCGGCTTCGGCTCGTGCGTTGCTCCTCGATTCTTCGATCTACAGTCTTCCTCCTCTCGGATTTCACCTCGTATACTTCGATCTACTAAAACGTGGCACTAGACACGAAGTAGTTAGAATTAACGGAAGAAAAGAAAGAAGAAAAGAATACCGAAAGGGATCGGCCAAGGGATGGCCGATTCCGGCGACGGGGCGGCGTCAACGGCGGAGGTGGCCGCGCGAGAGAGAGAGCGAGAGAGAGAGGTGGACGGCCGCTTTAGGGTTAGGGTTTTTTTTTTTGTGCAAGGCCTATAAATCATGTATTTATAGTCCCTTGCATAAAACCCTAACGGGCTTAAGTTGGACTGGGCCCAACAGCTTAAGCTCGTTAGTTCCTTTACTTGCTCGTCTCTCTCAATTCAATGATCGGAAAATTGTAACGATTACTTTTTCGGAATCATTATAATGTCCTCGTCATTACCAAAAGTATTCCAACTTTCCAAAAGTGGAAACCCTAGTTCAGTGCACTTTCTAAATTTGGAAACTTCCCGATTTAGAAAGTTCACTAATACGTTCGCCTACTCTTTTCCTTTTCTTATTCTCATTCATAATTCCAAATTACGAATGTTGGACCCAATCGTATTGACTTCCAATCATGCAAAGATAAACTATTTTATCTCTGGCCGTTTATTCAAAGATCTCATGTGCACGAGCAGTGTGACCCTCGATGGTTCAGGTGTAAGCTAGCCGTGGGCCCACAACCCTTTGTGGTCAAAACTCGTCCCCTTAGAGTTACGATTAAGATGAAACTCGTTTCACCTTAACCACCCAACGAATCAAGATTGGCGTCTAGCAACTACGCGTCATGATTCCCTAGATACAAATGAAGTGCCTGCAAGAACCTTCAGATATAGTTAACGTACAGTACGGTCCCTTCGATTCATATGTCCCGATCGAACTAGAGGCATTGGTTCATCGAGACCTCTTTATATGTTCGATGACGGTGCGATCGTTCTAAGTGTTGTAATCCTTACGTGCATGACTTAGAGAATCGAATTCTCTAATCATCACTTAGTCAGCTCTGGCCAGAGACTTAGAATGATTACAAACTTTCAGAACACACAGGACATCCAAGACTATTCTAGCGATCGAATCCCCGACTACAATGCACAGACCTCCCACTAGATTTCGGACTGCACGAACACTGGCCCTTGGGATGGTCCTCGGTGGAACTCAGGGACAGGTCACGATACAGCTGGTCCTCTAGTGAAGTCACGGTGATGTCTAGGTCATAAGGACTAATGGTGTACAACTATACCATAGATATCTCTACTCGATTATTGGGAACCACTTAGAGATTTCTAGGGTGAGGGAGTTCAGTGAACTCGTCAACTTACGAGCACCCACTTATGCATGCCGATAACACAATACCGTATACTGATGAGATGCAGTACACATACACTAAGTGCTAGTCTTCATGGGAAAGGCCGATATCCTCATTAGTGGCGTAACCCTTCGACTAGGAACACGTTTAACAGTTATAATACTTAAGTAAATATCTCACGATCCTAACGATCAATTACTAGTACTTGTAATAACTGTAAGGACTATATCTATGCTTGTGACAAAGGGACAAAGATATAGAATGCCAATGTGTTTTATCATTAATACGAATAAAGGTTCGTTTATTACAATAATAAATACGAAAGACCACAGCCACAAGTTGGCTTGTTGGTCACCTACTCTAACATGGAGTATCTTCGCTCTTTGGGCCATTGATGAGTAGTAGGCATCCCCTTCGTAATTGATTCTCCATCTATAAGAAGGTGATGAAAAGTGATTATGGATTGCTGATGTAAGTAATATTACTAGCCCCCCAGTTTGGGTATGGGTTTTTTACGCACCTCGTTATGGAGTAGAAACTTTCCAAGAGTGTAGAGACCATCTTTACTAGACGAGTGACGTTAAAGGTCGCGAAGCCTGTAGGGCTAATGGTTTGTAAGCAAATTTTGTATGGGGAGGTCGAGGATAGTAACTTAAACGGATTTGAAGCAATGTGAATGTACACCTCAAGCGTAGAACCTTTTGAGGTTCCCTATATTCCAGGTTCTGGGTATAGGATGTCCATCAAGGTTTTCGAGACGATATGCTCCAGTATTGACCACTTGTGTGATTTTGTATGGTTCTTCCCATTTTGGGTCGAGTTTACCAATGGGGCGCGAGGCTTCAGCTTTTCGGAGGACTAAATCTCCCACTTGGAAGGATCGAGGGTGGACCTTTGAATTATAGGCTTTGGCCATGCGTGTTTTGTACATCTGTTGTCAGATGTATGCAATCTCTCGTAGCTCATCTATGAGGTCGAGGCTTCCTCGCATAGCTTCTTCGTTAGCTGCGCGATGATAGTTGGTGATTCGCCAAGATGGTTCGCCGATTTCCACGGGTGCGATAGCCTCTGTGCCAAAAGCCAGATTAAAAGGTGATTCTCCGGTTGCTGCTCGTGGAGTGGTTCGATAAGCCCATAGGGCGCTAGGCAATTCTTCCACCCACTTCCCTGTGGCACTTCCAAGCCTTGTTTTAAGGTGTTGGAGTATAGTGCGATTCATGACCTTCGTCTGGCCGTTAGCCTGTGGATTGGCTACGGACGTGAAGAACTGTTTGATAACTAAACCGATGCACCAATTCTTCACTTTGTCGCCACAAAATTGGGTTCCATTATCTAAGATAATGGAACGTGGGATTCCAAAGCGGCACACAATATTCTTCCACAAGAATTGGATGACCTCTTCTTCTCGGATGCGTGCTAAGGGCTCGGCCTCCACCCATTTGGTGAAGAAATCCACGGCTACAATGAGGAAGTTGCGCCCTCCCGTGGCGGGCGGGAATGGTCCGACTAAGTCCATCCCCCATTGGGCGAAAGGGATGGGGCTGTCAATCGGTTGCATTAGTGTCGCTGGCAGGTGAGGGATGTTGGCATGCACTTGGCAGGGCTTACACTTCTGGACTAATTTCTTTGCGTCTTCGTGCATTGTTGGCCAATAGTAGCCTTGCCTCAATAGTTTGAGAGCCAAGGTTCTCCCGCTCAAATGATTTCCGCAGATACCTTCATGCACTTCTCGAAGTACGTAATTCGCTGTAGTTGGGTCGAGGCACTTGAGATAGGGGAATGAGAATCCTCGTTTGTAAAGTTCTTCTCCCACTATTACGAAGCGAGCGACTCTCGTTTTTAACTTCCGTGCTTCGGTGAGGTCAGTTGGGAGTTCTCCCTTCTTGAGATACTTTATGATTGGCGTGAACCAGCACGGTTCGTCCTCCTCGTTGTATTGAACTTCATCAGTTGAAGTTATCTCCGGCTGAGGCGAGGTGAGAAGTGTCACCTTCCGACTTCCAATGCTTGCCATGGAGCTTCCAAGCCTAGCTAATTTGTCCGCATGGATGTTACTGGAGCGAGGTACTTGTCTTATCTCGTAGCTCTCGAGCTTGGATAACAGAGTGTGTGTGAGAGCCAAATATTTGGCCATGGAGTCTTCTTTGGCCTCGTAAGTTCCGAGTACCTGGTTAACGACGAGCTGAGAATCGCTTTAGATTAGGAGCTTATGCGCTCCGGCTGCTAAGGCGAGGCAGATTCCTGCTATCAATGCTTCATATTCAGCGACATTGTTTGAGGCTGTGAATTCGAATCGTTGAGCACATTCGAATTCATCTCCGTTGGGGTTCGTTAGTACGATACCTGCTCCATCTCCTGTGGCTGTGGAAGATCCATCAACACTGACAGACCAAGTAGGGAGGGAGGTGCTCTCTTCTACTGAGGTCATTTCAACTAAAAAGTCAGCCAATACTTGCGCTTTGATAGCGGGGCGGGATTTGAATTCTACCCCATATTCACTCAGCTCTATCGCCCATTTGGCTAACCACCCGGATGTCTCGGGACTCCTTAGTATCTGCTTCAGGGGGTTATTGGTGAGAACCACTACCTGATGTGATTGAAAGTAAGGTCGAAGCTTCCGAGCTGCGTTGATGAGGGCGAGGGCGAGCTTCTCCATATTGGTATAGCGTTGTTCGGCTCCTTGGAGGGCGCGACTTATGTAGTATATAGGCTGGTGGCCTTTTCCTCCATCTCGGATGAGGACTGCACTGATGGCATCATCTGAGGTAGCTAAGTATAGGAGGAGAGTGTTTCGGGCTGAGATTTTGTAAGCAAGGGTGGTGATTCCAAATATGATTTCAGCTCGATGAATGCCTTTTGACGAGCATGTCATCGATATACACCTCCATATTCTTGCCGATTTGATCTGCGAACATTGCGTTCACTAGACGTTGGTAAGTGGCTCCCGCATTTTTTAACCCGAAAGGCATGACTTGGTCCGTGACGAAGCTGGCCTCTCTTGATCTTCTGGGGCGAGTAAGATTTGATTGTATCCTTGATATGCGTCAAGGAAGCTGAGGAGCTCGCATCCCAAGGTCGAATCGATGAGTTGGTCGATTCTCGGTAAAGCAAAGGGATCCTTCGGACAAGCTTTGTTGAGGTCAGTGAAGTCCACGCATAACCTCCACTTGCCACCGGGCTTGGGAACGAGTACTACGTTCGACAACCATTCAGGATACTGAACTGGTCGTATATGACCTGTCTCTAGAAGTTTTGCCACTTCCGCCTTGATGTATATGTTGCGTTCGGGACCAAATGTCCGTTTCCTTTGTTTGATCGGTTTCAACCTTTTGTCGACGTTGAGCCGATGTAGAGCTACTTGAGGGGGAATGCCCGACAAGTCTTGAGCTTTCCAGGCGAACATATCTCCATTGTGTCGCAGGACTTTGACTAGTTGCTTCTCATCTCTGATCTAAATTGGATCCAATGCGTAGGAGCTTGGAATCATCTCTAGGTTTGAGCTCTATGAGCTTAAGCTCTTCGACGACCGCTAACTTGATGCTATCGTCGGGTACACTGATGAGGATATCTCTATCGTCCTCAATGATCGCGTTGACCCATTTCCGTTTATCGGGTTTTTGGGTGTCGTCTCCCCTTCCGGACGGTTTAGGTTTCTTGGATGGTTCTCGTAGGGCTCTTGCATAGCATTCTCGGGCGAGACGTCTATCTCCAAGTACTTCTCCCATTCCATAGGGGGTGGGGAATTTCCACTTCTGATGGTAGGAGGAAGGTACTGACTTGAATGTATGGATTTCTGGCCTCCCTAGGATGATGTTGTAGGGAGACGGCTTGTCGACGATGAGGAATTTGATTATCTTTGTAATTCGACAAGGGTTGTCTCCTAAGGAGATGGGCAACTACACTTCTCCCATGGAAAAAACGCCCTCTCCCATGAACCCTTTTAGGGGCGTGGAGATGGGGCTAAGCCGGGCATTATCTATGCCCAGCTGCTTGAAAGCGTGGAGGTACGTGATGTCGGCTGAGCTTCCCCCGTCCACTAATATCTTCTTAACCAAGAAGTTGGCCATCGACGCTGTGATTACCAATGGATCGACATGATTTTCATCTGGACCTTCAAGGTCCGAAGAGTTGAATACTATGCTATGATCAGGTCTTCGTATCTGATAGATAGATGCGGATGGAGAGGCGTGCTCTTGATTCATACGTGCTGACCGAGCGAGGGAGCGTCTTGCATTTTGTGAGTCGCCACCCGCCGGTCCTCCAGAGATAAAGGCAATGACTCCCCGGATGGGTTGATTATCATTGTTATCTTGTTCTCGCCGATGAACTCCCTCCTCTCGTCGCTGTGGTTGATCTCGATTGTTATCTCGGCGTGGGAGTTCATCACGACGCTTGTTTCGAGGCTTATCGATGTACTCGCCTAAGTGGCCCTGGTTGATCAATCTCTCAATGGCTACTTTGAGTTGTGCACATTCCTCGATAGTATGTCCTCTATCCTTATGGAATCGACAATTCGATCCGATTTTTCTCGTTTCGCATTCGGCTGCATAGGGCATGGGGGTTCTGCTAAACCTCTTTGTTCTATCACATGAAGGATTTGAGTAAGGCGAGTGTTTAGCGGAGTGAACCTATTGTAGGACGAAGATGATTGGCCTTGAGGTGGGAGTGGTGGACGCCGATCATCCCGCCTCCTAACGTCCTGACGGTCATATTCCCTCTTCCTTTTGGTAGGAGCATGGGTAGAGGAAATTTGGACCTACCCGGCTTCAAGTTTTGTTGCATGATCCCGGAGAGCATGTCTTGTCCTATGCTTGGGACTTCGTGGACGGCTTCTACAAAACGCTTGATGTAGTTGCAGAGCGTTTCATTTTCTCTCTGTACTACAGAGAAAAGGTGGGCTGGGGTCTTGGCATACTGCTTGTTGATGGCGAATTGATTGGTGAACCGTGTTGACAATCGAGTGAAGGTGTCAATCGATCCTGTGGGTAGAGAGTTGAACCAATTCATAGCTCTCTTGGAGAGAGTGGTGCGGAACATTTTGCACATCGCAGCGTCCGTTGGGCCATACAAATCTGCCATGGCGTTAAATTTCTCTATGTGTTCTTGTGGATCGGTGGTCCCTTCAAATTGAGGTAATCCCGAGATCTTCACTCGTTGAGGTAATACCTCGTTGAGGATGTCCATGGTGAAAGGACTGCGTCTTACTGGGGCGGGCATTATTCCGCCAATTGGATTGTTCAATTGGGGGAAGGAAATTTGGCGAGACATTCTGCTGTTTACCTTGCCTTCTCCCTCATTAAAGAGAGTGACTCTCTGTGGAGACGCATTCCCCCGTGGGGGTGAGCGCTGACGTTGCTGTCTGGGTTGTGCCCCCCTGTGATTGGTGGATAGCTGCACTCGGGACCGTGGGTCCGAGGTGGATGAGGAGACACTTATTTGGTATTGGACTGGCGGTGGTGCCATTGGTTGCACCACGGGTGGAGCTGGTGCTGGTATCGCACTGGGAGCATTTGCTCCCATCGTGGCGATATATTGGGTCACGGCCTCTGTGGCGGCGCGAGTTGAAGCTTCTGCTATCATGCGTTGGAGCGCATCCTCGGTTATTTGAACCGTTCGAGGTGCAGGGAGTGGCGGATCGGCGAGCGGTGGGTCCCGAAGGGGGGATCACCTGAACCTCGCGAGGCGGATCCGAAGTACGTGGAGGAGGTGGCAAGCCAGAGCCTCCGCGGATTGGGAGGTTGTTAGCTGTGTCGTTCTCTCTCCGAGCGGATGCCTCAGGAGGATCTGGTTTGCATCGTTCCCACAGACGGCGCCAAAATGATGATGCTAATTACTTAGATCACCTAGGGTAGTGTAGAAAACGAGCTGGGAGAGCAAAGCGGATCAGTAGCTTGACAACTTGATGATCCTGAGGTCCCTGCGAAATGAGCACACGTGAACTAAGCCGGGGGTTGATCCGGCGGAAACCCCTCCGACGCTCAAGTCAGATGTACGGATCGTGGAGATGGTAGAGAAAATAAAATTCTAGTTTGCTTGTGAATAATAGAACTTACCTTAACAAATGAGTAAAAACCTCAATTTATATGTCGTTGAATGGGTTGGGTTTACTTAATTGGGCCTAAGCCTTATTTTGAAGGTGACTGGGCTTTGTGTAGTGGGCCCAATTATTAGGCAAATTAGGGGGCCCATTGGGTTGGCCCAATTAGGTATATCATTCACTTATTTGTATTTTGTTATTATGTGAATTATTTTATTGATCTCAAGAGAATTATGTAAATAATGAATTTGATTTATGAAATTTTTTTACAATTGATGTTTTAATCTTCAGTTAAATTGCATAATTTTTTTGTTTTCAGGTGAATTTGATGTTTCACGGAACTGGTTTTGGTAAATAATAGATATAATTATTTGCTACAATATATATCTTGTAGTAAAATAGTATGCATGTTTTTGCTACAGTATAATGTCGTACCAATTATTCTATTGGGTGTAAAAAGGAAGATGATTTTGCTAGGGCAAGAACCCGTACCAAATAAATTATTTTCTCTTACATATTTACTACAAAAGGAGGGCCGTTGTAAATGCTTTGAAAATTCGAAGTAAATCTATTTGCTACGATGGGTTACCGTACTAAAGTATTAGTCACACCTATATTCACTACGGCAAAATTCGTAGTAAGATCGTAGCAAAAGGCTTTTAATACGAATTTGGGACAATTTGTTACGAATTCAACTCGAAGCAAAAGGCGCTTTTTCTACTAGTGACAGAAGATCATTTCAAAAAATTCTTTTAGAAGATAATGTTAAATCATTAACAATTTAGATAGAATTAGACTGACAATTGAAACGAAAATTGTAGCACAATATTTAAGTGATTTATCTTGATTATTGTAAATAGATAATCATGGTCAAGTTATTGTAACTTATTGTGCTGGCACATTTGGTAGATGTTGAATCGAACAAGGTAAAATTATTATTTTACCACCGCAAAATAAAACTACAGTATTTATTGTTATATGTCAGTTATTTAGTCTCTTAGTACCTAAAAAATTGACGTATTCATTTAACTAGTTTATTTTACATTGACAATCCAATGGGTGAGTCCTAGTGAGTAAAGAGGCTCGATTACTCGAGTAAGTGCATTATTTATTTGGTGAAAATTATCTATTTAATGAAATCTACATCTCTGAAGTATGAGATTTATAAATAATCGGGGTAAGTAGATTATGAGGTTTGTCAATATCAATACATGGGCATGTGAATTTTGTACATATTAGTAGATACAAAATTAATAAAAATAGAATTAATGACATTGGTAGTTTCGTCATGTTAGAGGAATATAATATATATTCATTTTTGATTTAGTTTAGCCTTAATTAGGTGATTTGATTAGATTCAATCAAGTCTTAATTAGTAATTTGATTAGTGATTTGATTATATTCAATCAAGTCTTAATTAGTGATTTGATTAGGTGTTATTAGTTTCTTCCTTTTATTGTTTCTCTCTTGTGTGTATATAAATGTACAAGCCCTCATTGATGAAATACAAGACACAATTCATCTTCTTCATTATGTGTTTCTTCGTTTCTACATGGTATCAGTGAATCTTTGATTTTTTTTTTCTCCTCATTCTTCAAAATGTCTACCGACGATCTTCTTCCTACAAAGTCTTCTTCATCATCACCCACACCCATCATAACCGATTTATACACAATCCATCATTCCGATAGTCCTTCTACTATCCTTGTCACACCTTTGTTGACAGGAGATAATTACGGATCATGGAGTCGTGCAGTCACAATGGCACTTCGTGCCAAAAATAAGCTTGGTTTCGTTGATGGGTCACTCCCAATTCCGACAGAGAAATCTGGCATTTCTAATTGGGAACGTTGTAACGATTTAGTAGGAAGTTGGATCCTTAATTCTGTTTCACCTGAGATCCGTCCAAGTATCTTGTATGCTGAAACTGCAGCACAAATTTGGACCGATCTCAAGGATCGTTTTTCTCAATCAAATGCTCCAAAAATTTATCAATTGAAACAGTCCATTTCTGCCATCAAACAAGAAAGCATGTCTGTTTCATTGTATTTTACGCAACTCAAATCTCTTTGGGATGAACTCGGTTCCATTATCCATATCACTCCTTGCATTTGTGGTAATGCTAAAAGCATTATTGACCAACAAAATCAAGATCGATCCATGGAATTTCTTCAAGGACTACATGATCGTTTTTCCGCTATTCGCAGCCAAATTCTCTTGATGGAACCATTTCCTTCCATTCAACGTATCTATAATTTGGTTCGTCAAGAAGAAAAGCAGCAAGAGATCAATATTCTCACAACTCCTACTGTTGATGCCGCTGCACTTCAAGCATCTAAACCTCCATTTCGTCCGTCGGGAAAACGTCAACGTCCATTTTGCGACCATTGCAACAAACATGGTCATACTCTTGCTACATGCTATCAACTTCATGGATTTCCCGACAAACATGTGAAGAAATCCGTGCCACCACCATCCAACTCCACTCTTATGCCTAGTTCACTCACGCACGAACAATACAATAAGCTTCTCACACTTCTTGCCAAAGAAGAAACTAGTGGACCCTCAGTGCACTTAGCAGGTAAAATTCACACATTTTCATCATTTTGTTGGATTATTGACTCCGGTGCTTCTAATCATATATGTACATCTCTCTCATTTTTTTCTTCATATTCCCCTATTCGTAAAAACATATATATTCAATTGCCTGATGGCTCTCACGCGCCTGTGACTCACATAGGCACTGTCAAATGTTTTGGTACTTTCATTCTCACGAATGTTTTTTACATTCCATCTTTTAAGTTCAATCTGTTATCCATTTCACAATTTACGAAATCCACAAATTGTGATATAACTTTTTCTTCGTCTGGATGTATATTTCAGGACCAATCAACGAAGAAGACGATTGGTCGGGGTAATCCTCACAATGGTCTTTTCTATCTAGATTGCAATTTGGTTTCTAATTATGCTCTTTCTATTAAGCAATGTAATAAATTTGATCTATGGCATTCTCGCCTTGGTCATCCATCTAGGCCTCGTTTTGCTTTTATTGTTAAGAATTCACAAAATATTATTCCAAATAAGGATTTTGTTTGTGATGTTTGTCCACGTGCTAAACATGCACGTCTTTCATTTCCTCAACGTACATCTTGTTCTTCTCATTGTTTTGAATTGATTCATGTTCATATTTGGGGTCCTTTCTCTATACCCTCACAAAATGGATCACGATTCTTCTTTACTATTGTTGATGATTATTCAAGATGCACTTGGATTTATCTAATGAAACACAAATCCAAAACTTTCAACATGATAACCCATTTTTTTAATCTAATTCGTCGTCAATTTAACACAAAAGTCTCTCGTTTCAATTCCGGAAATGGGTATATTTTTCTTCCTCAACTTCAAACCATACGTTCAGATAATGGTTCTGAATTTCTTTCCAAACAAATTCAAAAATGGTTTCATGATAATGGAATCATTCATCAACGTAGTTGCGTTGCGACCCCACAACAAAATGGC